TTGGTAGTACAATACTCTAGCACAAAAAAAAAAAAAACGTCAAGGATTCGCTATAATTCCAACGAGAAGACTGCCCCTTTTCCCGGCGGAAGTTGGGGAGGAGATCTTTACTGACCCCAGACAACCTAGAGTTACTTAGGAGCTGCAGGGTAAGGGTGACACTGTGTTGTTGTGACAGCAAAAACTGATAACGCCGTGTTAGGTGTAGAGAGTCAGCAAACATTCAACAAAACACACACCGCTGTTACGAAAGAATAGAAATGTACTCTGTTAAGCCTAATAATGAAGTAGGCTTGGCATATTTACCTTATTTTTAGATACTTCATTTTTTTTATGTTTTGGTGGGTTAAGCCTAATAATAAAGTTGGCTTGGCATATTTACCTTATTTTTAGATACTTCATTATTTTATTTTTTTCTGTTTTGGTGGGTGCTAAATTTCTCTACACAAATATTTCTGAAATCGTTAATGATTTACAAATCTGTTAAAAGATCAAGTGCATATGAGTTAAAACAAACGTGAAGTTCAAACTGTGTATCTTAATGGCGCTATTATCATATAGTTCTTAAATACACTGTATATATATATGAATGTGTAGAAATACTTTACATGTGATAAAATACCAAAGCGTTCATAAAGATGAAAAACAGTGTAAGAAAAATCGCAAAAATCCATCTCGGAGAAGGGATTCAACAGGAATAACCTCTCTACTCGAAGCTATAATCTCTCATCTTTCTACCCCAATCACAATTAAGAAAATTAATTTACAAAATAAGCGCGCGCGCTAATACTGTAGCAACAGAGTTTCAAGAACATTTCTGTGTTTTAAACATAAGCTCAAAACAGTAAAGCATTCATGCAGTAATAAACAGTGTAGGGAATATAGCAGAATATACTTCGAAGAAAGGGTTCTTCTAATCACGTGCCATTCTTCTGTCCAAAACATAAGATAGTATACATATTCATACAAGATGAAAGAAAGAAAACAATACCATACGAATTCTACGTACTAATACACTTTACCGATGTTTCAAAAAATATGCATTGTTATAGTTATGGATCTAGCTAATATGTAACACTTTATGTGTTAGGAATGTATAAAGGTAGCAACATGTAAAGCAGTTTGTTCGTTTGAGTACAAAGAAATAGGTTATGTACACTATGTTCGCCCTCGTGGACCGTACTCCGAATGTTAGCGTTATAAGCCCTCAAGCTTACCGCTGAACCACCGGTGGACCAATAGCTAAACACACACACGCATGACAAGTACGTCAATTTATATTCATAAGAGATTATAGCGTTATCATATAAACATGCGTAACATTATGTGTTTACAACTTGAAGTTCACGTAAAAACACAAGTTCGTTATGTACACCAGAAAATCTCATAAGTCTCTTAAATTATATTTTCTTTCGTAATAATGGGCTTAATCCTATTTGCACGGGTGGGGGTCAAAGGGTGCATATCTAGACTTTGTACAGAGCACCATCCAACATGGAATTATAAATTTGATAACAAAGCTATCAAAACTGATGTCGTAACAGTTCGTGTTAGAGTAGCGACAATACCTGATACAACATACAGGGATACTGAAAAACTTTAAATGTGCAATTAGGAGATAGTAGAGGATGCGCAAATGCAATTTGCAAACTATGCGCTGAACAGAAGTATTTCATTCTTTACATGAACATTACTTTGCACTCTCACTGGTTAGAGTCTGAGTCAGACTTTGTCGGCTATATCTCAGCATTTATCAGGAATTTTGCTGTGCTAAAATAAAAGAAAGAATTATCTTACTGTTTTCTTAAAAGAGACATATGAAAGAAAATATGTCTAATTAATTTGTTTAGATATCTTCCTCTGTTATTGTTTTTTAACTTTTATCGTTACCGTATTTTTCGGTGTATAGGACACACA